AGAGAAGGAGAGTCAAGAGCTTGAATGACGTAGAAGAAGAGAAATCAGAGAGCATTGCACAGTTCCAACCCTAAGAGGCTATTTAAATGAGTCACCCAAAGGCCTCCATCCAACGGTTGTGGGGCTGACACTTGGCAAAATCTGGAGCATCCATTTAAAAAGGGAGAAACATGACTTTTTAAATTCAAACACGACTTTGCACCAATTAAAAAATCAATGAATCGGTCAACTTTTCAACATTCCGGTCAGCAGGTTAATATGGCATCGTTGTGCCAACCTTTCAATTTAGAGTGTGTTTGGTAGGGATTTTTGGGTGAAAAATTGATTTTTGAACAGTGATATGATGAGAAATGTGTGGTTGAAAAAAAAGAAAAAAGTATTGATGTAATGGAAAATATTATTTTATTGAAAAATGTGTGGTTGAAAATGAGAATTGATTTACTGTAAAAAATGAAAATTTGTACCAAACAGGCTCTTAGAATAGGTCTAGGTCTTGGGGGAGAAAGAAAATGTTTATCCCGTGTCTTGAGGGGAGAAAGAAAAAGTTTATCCCGTGTCTTGTGGGGAGAAAGTAAAAGACAGGGAAGAAAAGAAGAGGGAAGAAAAAAAGGAGAGAAGCCACATAAAATATTGTGTATTCTATTAATCAAAGTTGGTCCAATACAACGAAAAACCACTCATAGTTAGACCAAAAATCCTTAAAAAACCATGGGAACTATTTATTAATAATTTTAAGAAAAATTCATCTTACATAATTGCGAAACAACTTATATTTTAATCTATAGTAAGTCTTTCATAAATAGTCTTCCAAAAATATTCTAAATATTTCCATCAAACTCTCCGATTAAGATAACAAGAATCTGGCAAGATAAACTGCAACCTTTTATCTAAGAGGGATAGATTACATGGTTTTTTGAGTTAATTGATTCGATTTAATTGCCATCAATATAGCACCCTATAACACCAAACAAAACATTAATCCCGTCAAAGTATCAAATTGTGTTGATGGTTCTTCTGTAAATCAAATTCAGACGGAGATATAATGATTTAATTTGTAAGAAGTTGAAGTTCATCAATGAGCTCAAATGAAATTTTTGGTTCAATTGTAAAATCCCACATTTCTATTTTTGTGACAGTCCAACACAACCTGCATTTAGAAGTGTTGTAACCATCTAGTACTAAAATTACAACAACGCCAGCTCTCACTTTTTCGATATTTTGAACAGTGAGACTTCTTATGATTGGGTAATCTACGGTGCAAGGTAACGGGAGAACCTTCTTTCATTGCATAACTTGGAAGCTCTCTAGGTCTATACGTTACCTATTTTAAGTACATATATGGAGTGTATTTGGGGTGCTAAACGGAGTTATAAAGAACCAGTCAGGATTTTTATGTCTGTCTTTGTTTTTATTTTCAATCGACCAAAAATGATTGAGAAGCTTTTTATAAACCTTGTGATGTGCACTCTTGAGTAGTAGTACACCCTTTGGTTTCTAATAATTAAAACTCTCTTCGAACCTTGTGTTTACCCTTGTACAAATATAACATTTATAATGACATTTGGGTATGATTGTTTATTACGGGACCTTATAATGCCGTCCCAAATCTACCGAAAGACCCGTATATGTTTGATCTTGTTCGAATTTGTGATCTTCTACTTCAAATGTTAATTTAGACGCGATCTCCTTTCTTATGGAGTAAATAAGGGATAATGAAAGCTCCCAAATCAAAACTTCAGAAAACCAAAAAGAAAATCCTGAAATCAAACTAATTCATAAGTTGTGACTGGTCTATTTAACATCCAAGAAAACATGAATCTTGTGGACCATCCTACTTAATCTTGAGATATTCTATTTGATTCGAACGTCTGGTTCATTTCATAACTGTAATCATTAATCAATCAGCAATATGACTACTTAATTTATTCTCACTCTCAATATATAAGCACAAAGGCAAACAAAATGATTCAAGAGAACAAAAAAGGTGAAAAAGTAAAACTAAAAGGTACTTATGAAAGAAGTAGGACTCGGAGGTAATGGGATGTCTACATTCCCCTCCAACATGAGTAGAACTTTCTTCATAGACGGACGGAGAGATGGCTCATCTTGGATGCACCAAATACCAATTTTAATCAGCCTCTCCAATTTTCTCTCGTCAACCTCCTCTTCTCCCACCAATTTACTCAACTCCCCACTCTCAAAAGCGTTGTAAACCCATTCTTCAAGAATAGCTTCATCCTCAGAGAGGCTTGAATCAACACTTTTTCTACCACATATGATCTCTAGTAGCACAATTCCATAGCTGTAAACATCTACTTTAACTGTCACAGGCAATTTCTTGTGCCACTCCGGAGCAACATAACCTCGAGTTCCTCTTATCCCTGTGTAGGTTTTTGTCTGATCTTTCTTTAAGAGCTTTGCCAGTCCAAAGTCAGAAATTTTTGCACACCTATGCTCATCCATGAGTATGTTTTGAGGTTTTATATCACAGTGAATGATCTGCGTCTCACACTCCTCGTGCAAATATACGATGCCTCTTGCAATATCAGGAGCAAATCGAATTCTCTCTTCCCAACACAGTCGGTTTTCGGGATTGAAAAGTATATCTGCCAGCGATCCATTTTTCATGTATTCATATACTAGAAGCCACTTAGCTCCTTCAAGGCAGTAACCAAGAAGTCTGACTAGATTACGATGATATGTTTTTCCTATCACCTTCATCTCAGTTTGGAATTCCTTTTCTCCTTCTTCCAGTTCTTTCTCGAGCCTCTTCACGGCCACAACACTTCTGTTGTCTGATAAGATCCCTTTGTAAACTGTACCAGACGCTCCTCTACCGAGCTTTTCTTTGAACTCATTTGTTGCTTCCACAAGCTCTGGATAGGTGAATGCTCGCAAACCAACATCCTCAATCAGTCCAACATGGGGGATCTTCTTATATCTCCCAACATGATTTCTGTGGACATAAATCCCTGAAATTGCCAGGATGAAGGCAGCTAAAGCAAAAAGCGAAATGCTTATAATTAAGACGTCCAGACGAATTTCTTTCTTGATTTCTTTTCCCGAACCACTCGAAACTCCTGGAGACAATGGTGCTGTTGTGTTCACCTTGATAAGAGAAACAGTTGGATTACTCTGCACTCTTCTTCCGTATCTCAATGGAAGCCTTTGCTTTCTGCAGTTTCCATCTTTAAAGAGAGCTGCATCGCAGTTGCAGTCCTCTAAACAGGCTTTTGCACAATCTGCTTTAGTCATGCTTACTAAAACACCATAATTAACGTCTTCCCACACTACGTTATCCAATGATATGATTTCATAACTGACATTTTGCTCCTCGGCTTTACAACCTTCCATGACAAAATTCCTCTCGCATCCTGAGGTCGAGTTGCCTGGACTAACACGATCGAATCCCGGAAGACATTCACACTCCGCAACTGTATCCAACTGAATACAATAACCATTCAACCCACATAAACCCAGAGGGGCACATTTATCTTCCGTGGGGGACCATTCTTTAGTCCAGTTTCCTTGAGGATCCAACGAGCGATAATAAAGTCGAAAAATACCATCAACATCAATTCTCACGAGGTAGATAGTTCTTTTTCGATATTGTCCTGTCGTCAAATTGATAGCGGAGCTTCCATTGAACAAATAAAGAAGGCCATTATTATCAAGATTCAGTGATACATTGTTGCCTGTTCCAATTGTGCCTGATGCGTAGTAAGCATAACTGGCTCCGGAAATTTCCACAGGGTATTGCGCCAGGTGCCCATCAGTTTGCATCGCAAGACGGAAAATACCTCTGGCAGGGTTGGTTTTTGAAGCACTGGAGACGAGATCCATTCCAGGCGGGAGACGTTGGCCGGGCAAAAGAGTGTCCGTTGGGGAATCAAAACTCTGCCATGCAATCCTACGAGAGGAGTCATACAGCACGAAATTTCCATTGTCAAGCATTGAAGCTGAAACGACTGGCCGGACAGAACTTGCAATATTTATGTCATCTCCATTGTCCTGCTTCAAAATGAGCCTTCCATAATCGGTTAATAGCAAAATGGCATTTGTGGGAAAAACGGGATCATCCCTGTTGGCTGTCCACACTACAGTCTTTTCTGGAATCCCAGCAATAAAAACTCCAACAGCATAGCCATTGGTTAGCTTGTAGAATCCAAAGGCATAGAGTCCAGAGGGCGACAACCATGATGAATTTGTATTGGGTTCTAAAGAAGAACCAAGGGAAATATTAGAATATCTTTGTTTCTGGGCTGATGCTGCCATTAATGTAGAAAGAATGAGAAAACAGGGAAAAACAGCCATGGAAAATAGGTTTTCGATCTTTCTTTGATATGGCTTTTTAGTTTCATTGAGGAAGGAAATAGGCGTTACTTGAAGAACTCAGTATCCTCTCTGTCTTGACTCATTTCGGTCAATGCTTAAGGTCTGTTTGTTTGAACAATATGTCCAATGTACTTATGGAAAGACGTTGTTAAAGTTCTTGTTAGGCCCCGAAACAACTTATTCTAAGGATCGAATTTTACAACAACCAGGAAATTGCAGAAATTAAAGAAAATCACAACATAAGGATTTTTCGCCCCTAAGGACCCGGATGTTCAATCGTGCAACCTAATCACCCGCTGAGCATCTACAATGAGATATAACTCTAGATCCACTAAAAACAAATCAAGAATCAGTACAGAATGTACGAAGAAACCAACAGTTTCTTCGAGTTTTATCTCGCCTCTTCTACAAACGTAATCGCACAACCCTCAATCTCTAAATGACTGTGCACAACAATCAAAAACTCACAAAGAATTAGAGATCGAAGAATCACAAAGATCGATTATAGATTTTACAAGAAAAAACCCTAACTATCAGTCTCTCACTCAGAAAAATAGAGAAAAACGAAGAGACTGAAGGCAGAAACAACTAGAAGAAATGAGCCAAGACCAAGTCACGTATCTATCCAACTCAACAATCACAATCTAAGGATCAGAATGCAGCCACATGTAAAGAAGATCCTCAACCTTCTAGTGGCCAAAAGGCGTGTTTCATCCAAACACGTTTTAAGAAGTTCTGGCCCAATTGCACAAATGGCCCAACATGCCAAGTAATAATGAGGCAGGCCAAATACATTAACAGTTCTAATACGAACAAATTGACTT